GATCATTTTATTTGCATTGGAACCGTCAGCGATATTTAAAACACTGAAATATGAATTATTTAATATTAAAAGTTTGTTCCCTGTGATTGCAAGAGATGTAATTTCTCTAGCTGCAAAAGCTGAGGCAGTGTTCTCTAAATGATCACCAGAGGAGTCCATATACTGCAGCAATAATCTGAACAAATACTTCATCCGCTTCGATAAACACGATTTTCAATATTAAGAATGAAGCGGTTTATTATTCTCTCAAAAATAAAAATGGTTGGCCCTTACTTTAATGAAGCGAAAAAACCTATCTTATATATATTAAAGTACGCCCCTCGTAAGATAGTAGGGAGTACGATAAGCAGTTAATAATATATATTTTAATACATAATAAACTAAACACGGGACTGTTAAAAACTAAAAGCTAAGATTAAAAAAAAAAATTCGACACCTTACAGTTTAGCGCTGAAGCGTTTACTTTAAAGTATTTCTTTATATATCACACACAAATCTAGTTATCTTGTTTCGTTACAAACCAAATTTTTTTTTCCATATGTTTTGAAATTTTTAAGCTTTATTCATTAGTAAATAATAATAGTTCTTTTTTCATATTATCTAATTTCCCTTTAGTTAAAAATTTTTGATACCACATTTTTTTTATTCATTTATAGATTTATATATATACGACTTATTAGTGTCGTGTTTTATTTCATTATATGTCTTATTCCACCCGATTTCAATGTGTTACCTCCAAGCTTTAAATATTTTTTTTTTATTTAAGTTGGGGCTTATGTGTCTTCATGTTATACCTTAAGCTATTATTTTTTTTTAATACCTAACCTTGTTTCTTCTATGCGGGTTTCAAATGCTTATATAGCAAAAACTATGTATGTACATTATAAAAAAAATTATGACTAAGGTTAATTTCCGTTTAGACTGTCTTCAAATCGTACTTCCTAACTTCTCTAAATGGTTATAATTTAACTTATTAGAGAAGATAGAGAACAAAGAAAATATATAGACAACAGTAAGGCTCTACATTAACTATCATAAAACAACTTGAAACAGGTCTTTACTTCTCAGCGTCCACGGCTTTTTAGGTCTTCTTATAAACCACGTATTATGCTCGGAAGAATTTCTCAATATATTACACGCTTTTGTTCCCGATATAAATTTTTTTACTAAACAACTTTTTCAAAGTTTATTCTTATACAGATGTATTAGTATAAAGTACAAGACGCCTTATTAAGTATCATAGCCTAATTTTATTTTCATTTAAAATTAATTTCAAAGTAAAACAGATAACGTATTTAAAAAAACCGACTTTACAACTTTGCTTTAAAAAAAATAATGACAATTTATTAATAACAAGTGGAGGTCATAGAAGTTGCCGGGTTTTAAAAACACTAGCAACCGTAAAAATTATAATTTTTTTTAACAAATTATATATAACTTTAAATTTAGGTAGAATTTGTACGAAGAATCCGTATAATAGATAATGTTTTTCTGCATTGTAAGTCGTGCTCAAAGCCTTCTTGACTTCTTTACAAACATTGCGGCGCAATTTCTTCGAAATCTAAGATGGATAATACCCATGTAATTAAAAAAATTACAAACCTAGAGTTTTGACAACGGTGGTTGGACTTACTTTCGGTTTCCTTTCTTGTTGTAATACAAATTTACAAAGTTAATATTTCGCTTATTTATAGTAATTATTTAGAAAATAAAGAAAGTTAAATATTATTTTATAATCCATTGTTAGATGTATTAATTAGTTAAAAGGTATCTAATCTTTACGTTCTTTAGCACTTATAATATTGCAAAAGTATACTCCAAGAAAAGCTTCACTATTTTTTTTTTAAAGTTTTGGAGAGACGGTAAACGGATCTACTTTAGCGTACTTCAAACCATTTGATTTAAATTGTACTGTTGAAAAAAAATAGTTGGGTTAAATGCCTTAAAATCTTCTAGTAATTAAAAGTATCCGGTATCCAAAGTTCCTTGGAACTCTAACCTATTTTATTGCTGCATCTCCATAAAAATGCTAATAACTTTTAAGCACTAGACCTTTTTTATTAAAAAAAAACACAATCGAAAAGATTTAACGACTACGCTATTATATATAAAAGACACAATAGCTTAGTGTACATTTTGTTTGAATGATATGGGGTTTAGCTGTGTAACTTGAAGTTCACCAAGAAAAAATTAGAAGAGCTCGATTGTGTATTATCGAGAAATGGATATGCTTGCTAGTATTTTTATCGTGTTCAAAGTTTTTAATAAACAGGTTAAGTGAGGTAGAGATATACATTCCTAACAGTAAAATCTAATATAAGTTATTAATTACACACAGAAGTTAGCGAAGTTAAATGCTCTATTAAATACGAAATGTAATAAAGTTATTATAATAATATAAGTTGTTTTAGATACGAAAAGATAACAAAAAGTAACATTTGTGAATCCATTCCGCAATACTTTTGAAGAGCGCTTAGAGGTATAGTCTTTAAATCGAATATTTTCTAGATGTTGACTTATTTTAATCTTATATTAATTTCTTTTTAAACATTAAATACATAAAAAACTGTAATTATTTTTTATATCAATATTATTATAATTTTTTATTCTTTTATATTAATTTAAATAATCTCTTTTAGTTTCTTATTCGTTCTTTTAATAAATTTATATAAAAAATACTTCTCATTTTATTTTCACTTTGGTTACCTAATATTTACTATACCACGTTCTGTTATGGTCTTATAATTATAGCAAAAGGAAGGCACCTATAGGGTTACAAAGTTAGGTAGTTATTATTGTATAATATAGATTAATTATAAATTTATTTTAACAATTATTCAATGCTCTTAAGTAACCGAATACATGTTTTCTGTATTTTACAGTTCTTAAAATTGTTTCTTCCCATTATTTTAAAATAGAGTAAGTATAGGTAAGTATTTTCAGTATTACAATAAAACACTACTTTTTAAGTTAAAAAATTATTTTTAAATTTTTACCATAACTTTTAACTTAAGATTTTATGCAATAATTTAATAATTTTTAATACATTATTGACGAATAAGTCTTGCTCTAATTTTAGAAACGTCAACAAAAATTTTATTACACACAAGAGATATACTTTACACTTTGCCCCACAAACCTTTATAACTTTAGTCTTCTAAGAGAGTTTGTCAATGTTTATCTACTAAAATATAATCGTTTTTTAAGTTGATATGGCTTACAAAATTTCCAAACTCTACTAAAAATTCACATTAGATCAACGCTAAATATTGACCATTAATATAAAAGTTTTCGAATAAGTTACCACAGAAGTATTAGTCAAGTACCTGTGAAATTTAGTCATAATAGGATAACCTTGATTTGTAGCAAAAAAGCTTTGTAATGATCTAATTTGGTTATGCGTCACTTAAGATAAATTTAGTTATTTTACTTTAATAAAAATAAAATTAAAGCGAATATTACATTTATTCTAATACGAAATTAATATTTTTATTGTTAAAATTGGGAAAGTGATATAAAATATAATATTTTAAAAAGATCTCAAACTCTTATCTTTGCTTTTTCTAATACTATTTAGTTTCTATTACAGCTATTTCAGAACTTCTTAGCTGTGAGGTACTATATTGAGAATATAGCCTTTTATTGGATTATCTTTATAGATACAAAGAAATAACTATTCTATGTCATCATATATACGTAAAACAAAAAAATGTTAAAAGATGTTTCATAAAAAGTTTAAAACACAAATAACATAGTTTAAAGTTTAATTTAGAATTATTAGATATGTTTACTTGTACTTGTAATAAGCAGCAACATTATAAAAATTACGGTATAAATCCGAGTATTTAATAATATAAGCTATGCATATATAAGGAGTCGATTTCAAAAGAGAAAAACGTCTAAAAGTAGGCATGCTTTATCTTGCTTTATCTATATTAGCGGCAACAGCATTTGGGTTTAGATTGACATTTCCAGAAAGATGCCTTCCTAATATTAGCCAAACTTATTTGTGAGTTAACCGTACATCAACTCTTGTTCTACGATATATTATAATACAGTCTACAAGAATTATCTAAAGTATACAAGCAGCATATATTTATTATTTAATAACAAAAGTTAACTACAGTGCTTTGACGGCGTATAATCGAAACTTTTTTTATTAAATTTTTATTATAACCCCGAAAGATCTTTACATTATTAAAGACTTTAAAGCTTCTATATATATACTTCTAAACAAAGATTTTAGAGTACACTGAAGATGAAAACTATAATTTATTAATTAGGGATCTTTCACAATGCTCTCTTAATAATTTTATCGTAGACGACACGATTTCCCCATTGCTAAGCACTTTGTAAATTTTTTTGCAGCAATAAAAATAAATTTTGATTTACTATTTACAAAAAGATTACTTTCTTATAACCATATTCAGTCCTTTGAAGAGAATAGCTTTCAAGGTCTAATTTTATTAAGTGAATTGTAAGTTTTCATAAGCTATAGGCATAAATAAATTTGATACCGCAATCATGGATCTACCAAAAAACTGTGATTTTACGTTTTGTATAAATTAAATCAAATTTAAATTGCTTAAAGAGCCAAATTGTTGTACTTGTTCTTTAAATTTTTGCATAAATAATAAATAAAATTGACCCAACACTTTTAGATACCTCCATTACAATTCTATTTCTGCAATTCCTCCAGCAACCTTTGAAAAACTTTCTAATTTAGAAACTTTGTAATTTAATTCTCTATTCTCTTTTCTTTTTGGTGCTGCAGCTAAAATAATTATATTCATATATGAATTGCTACATTCTGTTTGAAGATGGCTTGACAATAACAAACTTACTAACATTGAAGATTATTATTTCAAAGGACTTTACAATCTTAAAAAATTGTAAGTCTGTGTAACAAAGTTTGTTCTGTTTATCATTTATTAAACTTTTTTAAAATTTTAATTTTAACTCAAAACAAAATTAAAGTAAATTTTATATACAAAAAAAAGAGCTCTCCATAATAATTCCATTAGTCAAATTGCAGACTACGCATTTAGAAGTTTAGTCAATTTAAAAACATTGTAAGTTTGGTTATTTGATCTTTTTACATTTTCGAGTATTTTAAAAAAAAAATTTTAAAGATGGTTGCACTGCAACGAACTTACAGCACTAAACAGCGCCATGTTTATTGGACTTGAACAACTCGAATACTTGTAATTTATAATTTTTATAATCTTTCTTTTAAAGTTTTTTTTAAAAACTTTATAATTACTAATCTATTATGCTTGAAAATATTAATAGTCAAAGTATTATAAATATATAAGTAAAAATAATTGATACCATAATAAATAGTATAACAAAAATTATTATTCATAATATAATAATAATAAATTTTTTAATAATTTAATTCTTAAATAATTAATAAAAAGTAAACAAATAATTTAAGAATGAAAATGTTTATTTGTATATAATCATAACATTGAAAAATTTCTTAAATTAAGTATAAATTATGTTTTTTGACTTTCTTTATAATTTTTTTTTAACTTGTTCCTTTTTGTTCTCTGTTTTCATTAAATAATTATTTTTTATAAATGATTTAAATAAAATTTGTGTTCTGATTTTTTTTTACTTCTTTTTTTTTAAAATATTTATTAATTAATTTAGATATATTTTATTTTTTTTTATTGGTTTTATATTTTCTTTTGAAATTTTTCAATTGAAATTGAAAGTACTTAAAACTTTTGTTTCTAATTTTTTATTGTAAATTTATGTTTAAAATTTATTTTTTTTTGTTTGTTTACTGATTTCTCTAACCAAAATAATAATTTGTAACTAAATTAAAGACTTTTTCTATACTTTCTTTTTGAATTTTTAAGTTTTTATTTACGGTTTTTTTTAAAATTAATTATTATTTGGAAATAATTTGCAAAATTTCTTTTTTGATTTTTTTGTATATACATCAGAAAATTTTCTATTTTTTAGTTTACTGTTTTCTTTAATATTAATTTAAATTATATAAATTTAGTTTTTCTATTGTTTTCTTTAAAATAATGAAAAATTGTGTTCTGATTTTTTTATTTACTGTTTTCGTTTAAATAAATTATAAATATTAATTCGAAATGAAAATAATCTAAATTTGTATTTTGGTTTTCTTTAAAATTTCCAAATTAAACTATTTTTTTCTAACTGATTTTATAATTAATTGTAATAATAAAAAATTAAAAAAAATTAAGATTTGATTTCTAATTTTCTTGACACTTTTACTGTTAAATTTTCAATTTTTAGTTAAAACAAATAATTGATTTTCATATTTTTCATTTTTGAAATTTTTTTTTTCTTTTTACTTAATTATTTTTATTAAATAAAAATGAAATTACTTAAAATTTATTTTCTGACTCTTTAAAAATTACTTATATTCCTTTTGTAAACTAATTCTAATTTAAAATAAAAGTAATTAATCTTAAAATAAATTTTCATAAATTTTAATCTTAAATTTTTCTATTTTTTGAGAATGTTTTTTTTAATAAAAAAATTGATAATTATAAATTAAAACGGAATTGTTTATGATGTTAATTTTTAATTAAATAGAGCGCTCGGGGATAATTTAATAGGCTCGATAGCTGGGCACACCTTTCGAGACTTGACTCAATTAAATTATCTGTAATTCATTTATAACAATTGGGAATTTTTTTTAATTATTTTAGCACATCTGAGAAAATTGGTAATTTACATATAAACTTTTTATTATTTTAAAATTTATTGTAAATTTTATTATTATAAATTGTTAATTATTATTTAATTTATGACATTAACAATTTAAATAAAAATTTTATTGATAATTAAATAAAACTTTTCACAAATGAGTTTAACTTTTAAATATAAATAAATAAAAAATCAAAGAAGGTTAAGTGGAAATCGAGTCACTTCCATTGCGAATACTTATTTCAACAACTTAAACAATTTGGAGGAACTGTAAGTGAAAAAAAATCTTATGTCTAAAATAATCTAAGTAAATTAATTTAAAATAGATTAGTAAAAAATAATTTTTCTTTCAACTTGAATAAGTTATTAAGATAATTTTTTTATTTAATATTTTTAATAGAATTTTGTTATAGATTTATTATAATTTCATCACTATAATTACCATAATATATAATGATCATAAAGTTATATATACGCCTAATCCCATAAGAATTTAAATTTAAATTTATTAAAAACGTCACAATATTTTTTTTATAACAAAAAAATAATTTAATTTTAAATATTTCTAATTTAATTTTAAATAAAATCTATAAAATATATTTAATTAGAAATCTTGACAACAACCCTATAACTGAAATTGAGCCCCATGCCTTCAGTGAATCTTTCAAATTTTATAATTTGTAGCGCTACTTATAATAATTTGAAATTCTCGCCGCTGCTCATCTTATTTTTTCTAAAGAGTCATTAGTCTAAACGGATCCTTTTTATGCTCCTCACGAGAATTCTACCATAATCTTCTCCGTTTTCCTGATAACTGGTGTACAAAGAGTAGAACTCTCGTCGAGTATACCCCATATCCTTCTGATTAAAAATATATAGAAATGCCGTTAAGAACGAGTTTAGAGAAAAAGCATTTTACTATTGATGTAAAGAAAACAAAATATTACAGTAAAAAAGAAATTAAAAAATAAAGAGCTTTTCGTTAAATTAAATAAATCACTTCTTTTTAAATAAAAGAGCATCCCTACTCAAGTTAGCAGTAAAAAAAATCGCAGAATTTTATTTCTATTATAAAGTACACGTCAATAAAATCAGGTTACAAACTCCTAACATGCCTATAAAAAGGAGTTCATAAAAAATATAAAAACTATAGTACCAATTTAGCCTATATAATTTATAAATTAAAAATAGCATTAACCAATTTTCTCTGCTCAAATAGTGTTAGAAGGTAGTAAAATAATTCTAAAAAAACGGAAATTCGAAGAAATTATACAGCAATGAAACGTCTACAGAGCCATAAAACCAAGTTTACATGGTTGTAGGTAGCAAAACACGAATTAGCACTCACTTAAAATATTACTGCTAAAGTAACCCGTGGTTTTACTGTTACCAAGGTAAAGTTAACTGCTTTAAAAATATTAATGCACACGCTTTGCCTATTGGTACAAAAAACCGCAGTCACGCATAAAAATTCAAAGTTTAGAAGAAAACAAGATTACTTTAGCAGTTATTCTACCTCAAAAGTGAATACAATCTTTTAGTATCATAAAGTATTGTTTAGCGAAATAACTCCAAATTTTAGATTAATTTTATAAATTCCTTTTTATAAATTATTGTGCAAAAAGGAATTTTTGCTTTTAAACTGCGCCTTGTAGTACTTTGATAAATTCTTCAGTTTCCAGCCACTGCTTAGCAAAAAGAATTTGCAACACAAATGTACCCAGAATAAGTAAAGTTTATAGCCTTTATACTATATAGTACCTAGACACATTAAACACCGCCCTACATAGAGAAAAAAATTATTAATTTTCTAAGGGGTCGTTAGTCTGTTCAAACGAATGACACACCAATTTAAATAACTAATAAAATATACTAAAGATTTTCTCAATAGCATTAGAAGAAAGCTTTTAATCTTAAATTATCCAGAATTACCACTAACTTTAACTAAAGTAGTAGAACCAACTGGTATGTAGACGAGCGAATTGCAAGCACAGGAAAAAAATAGTCTACGCATGTGGAGTCTTGGATAGCATCACGACAGTGGTCGTTTTCCTTCGTGTTGGGAAGAAGCCCAGAGCCATTGCAAAGTGGCAAAACAGTAAAGTCGGCTAACTTTTTTATCAGATAAATATTAATTAAAAATAAATGATCAAAAAAATGACTTTTCTTTGAAAATGAAGAAGCTGTGGTGGTTACTAATTGTTGACATTAATGTTTTAGAAGACTACTAAATAAAGCACAGTCTAAATTATCATACTAACCTAATTGTTACGCGTGGTAACTTATTTAGCTTGCATCATTGTGCATGTTGCCATGTGCGTGGACATTGAGGTGTCAGCGCGCGATGATTGTTTAGTCTGCGTACTTTTCATCTATTGTTTCGTTTAGGTTTTTAAACATGTCTACCCCAAGCAGCCTTTTTGCATTTGAAGTCGCCAAGAGAATGGCAGGAAACCACGTTGAAGCAATTAATTCAGGACACTTATGAACAGCGGTCTGCTAGAGGCTGCAGACAAAAACTGAAGCGGCTGACCTCGTAATAGCGAATATGACCTACTTACGGAGCTAACTGTAATCGATGGTCAAGAAAAAAATTATTTTTAAACCTAAAAAAGTAAACAAAATTACATCAAATGCAATATAAATAGCAATTTTTAATTATACTTATAATTACATTAACTTAAGGGTAACAGCAATTATAACAGTTAATATAATAACCTCATATCTATTAAAAGGATAACATTAATACTAAAACTATAATTGTTAACAGCTACCCCACTTAATGACTACTTTGGCTAAAATCCACATCCAACGTCGCCGGAGCGCCATTGAACTCAAAGTGTTAGACAAAAAGTGGGCTGCGCTGCCCCTGCTATCGCGAGCAAAATCGAACTATCTTCTGCAAATATAACCTGAGCACAGCTCTTTGGGGGAGAATACCGCCATTTCAGTTGGAGTGAAAAAAAAAGCTGCCTTACTTTATAAGACTCATTATAATAAAAGCATACCGCTTTTACAATAAAATAATTTTCCCTGCCCTTGACAAAAAATATCACACCGTCCAGGAGCTTATGCTTGACAGAGTATTATAACGCTTGCCTTATCCATTACCTAGAGAAAAGCCTCACAGTTTTTAGTATGTGGAGTCTATTGTAAACTCGACGCTTTTAGCCTAAAGGAGACCCTCTTTCGTGCACAAAGTATTATTCCTATTTATGAGGAGTGAACCCACATAAGAGTGAACCCACATTCTTGGCGCTGGTATAAATTTTATTAAGTTTGCAATGCAGAATGTATGCACATAATCAGCAAGGTCGGAAAATGAAAACTGTACCGATGGGAATCAATTCCGTGACATGGATAACACGAAATAATGCCCTGGCTGAGCAAAGCTGGACAACTCAATTTGGTTGCCGAAATATAACATTTTTTGTATTTATACACAAGGGTGACAGAGTTTTTTAAAATTAACTATTATTATTCACTTGCAAGTGATTACTTACAGCGCAGCTACCCTTTATTGAAATGAGAGACGAAAAAAACATCAGGAATATTAACGGACAACTAACTACACCAAGTATATTAGAACAACTCTCTTATTAAGTTCGGCACTTCTTCCGGACAGCGTGATAAACAAACTAAAAACTTTGTGTTCATGGCCCCCACACAGCCCCGACGGTTCATTAGGTTGAGTACCAGCTCCCCAAGTGTGATAAACTGCAAGTTTTATCTGATAGCAGTGCTTCCCTCATTCAAATGACCACAGCGTCGCAACGTGCCGAGGACAAGAAGTTGCTATACCAATCCGGAGAAGGGCTAAGTTAAGGCAAATGCAGAAGTCCGGTAGCAAGGTAAAGGCCTTCTTTTGACACTTTATTATTACAAAAACCACCGGAGTTCGCCTCTAAATTAAAGGTGCTAATTTTTTAGAAGTTTGTATTGCCTTCTTACAATCGCTTCCTAGTTAATTTTATTTTGTACAAGTACTTTTGTGAACCCTTGTTCGCTCATCTCCAAGAATAATGAAAATTTAAAAAATTGCCAAAGCAAATCTAGCACTGACTAAAGCCAGCCACTGCTACTAAGTCAGTCACTAAAGTAACATGCTTAGCAAACGATTTGTAAAAAAAGTTTTTGTGGGAAAACTTATATTTCTTCTCTGCGATAAGTGAGGGAGGGTCACCCCTTACACTTTTTTTATATTGTAGGAATTACAAAAAATTTGACCTGTAAAATAGAAAACGAAAGAAGAAATGCGTTATGGCCGGGCTGTTTAACGCAAAGGCTGTAAGCAGGCGCCATCAAGGTTTTAGAAAGTTAAGTAGTTTTACTAGAGTCAATAAGAAACTGTTAAGCTGAGTGACGGTTGCCATAGATGGCTGAATTTAGTTTTAGACGAAATAGTAGCGGTGAACTATCTTCTGATCAAAATTTTTTGATTTAAATAGAGTACGTTAGGCCAGAAAATTTATAATTTTAGTAACGTGCAGGTTACTAAGCGATTAAGAGCACCATAAGTTGCTCTAAGAAATTAGATACAAGATTATTTTTTTTTCCAAGTAGCTCGTAGATAGTAAAAAAGAATTGAAGCTTAAAAGTTGATGTAAACTTCTGAGTAATAAATTCAAAAATAGAGTATTTATTTATAGCGAACCTTCCTTAGTACAAACGCCAACGAGAATTCTATGACTTAGCTTGCTCCTCCGAGCCTTAATACCATTAATTATATTAAGTTGTTTCGCAACCAATACATTATATAATTACTCACAACCACAGAGGTTGGTATATGTAATATTATTATTAAGAACACTTAAAATTTTAAGACAATTTTTGATAATCCAAACTTTGCATATTTCTGAGTGACGCGGAGGCACGGAGCCTATAACTTTTTTTTTTGCTGAGGAAGATAAGTATAAGTCCAAAGTCGAAATATCTTAAAGTGTAATTTTAGTAAATTTACCCTTTTAAAAAATTTTACCCGAGTATTATACGAAAAGCGTGTAGGGTTAGTCTCATTTAAGCGAGTGTAGTTCTAACGGCACTTTAGTTTTACTAACGCTGATTATAATTTTATGCCCCGTAAAGAGGTATATATGTGTAGCGTGAAAAGGGGAATCTTTTCGTCATTCCCTTTTTACTAACTTTAAAGGAATTATGTAAGCTGAAGTTTCAGGATGCTCTTCTAATAATTATATATTAAATGTTAATCACTACAGTAGCTAGTGTCGACAGAACGGAGCATAATTCCTAAAATTGTTATTCCTCTACTTTTCAAAGTTTCTGCGTTGTAGAGCATACGAAAAGAGTAGTTATCTTTGAGTTGTTAAGACACTGAATAAAAGTTGGTATGCCGGTCGAATTGCAAACAGTTCTTAATTCTGATACTTGCCTCCTTACTCTTGCTTCAGTGGTGAGTGCAAGTTTCATTATTCGTTAATTGCAAAGCTTTTTTCCTCCTTCCTCACCGTTTTTATCTTCCACTTATTTCTGTATCTTATTGTGAGTTTCTAATGGTTTAATTCCGTTAAAATTTTTTGACGTTTCTGTTTAATAAAGGCCCCTAAGTTATTTACTCTTAACTCCATACTGGCTGAGCCTTCGGTGGAATATCTTCAGCGTTAACTTTAAAACTTAAATAAGTGTATTTTTATTAAAGACCCTCACGCTGAATTAGCCCACGCAGTTTCCTTGCATAGTTGTAGTATTAAACAAGTACTTGAGGATTCTTTTTCTTTTTTGTTAAACTTAATTTCCTAAAAAAAAAAAATTAGTTAAAAGTTACTTAGTATAAAATGACTTCGATACTACGGTTTTGAGCAGTGTAAATATTTTTCTTTAGCTTTGGAGTATTTTTACTGTTGTTTATAGCGAATCGGTGGTAGTCAACTTTTAATATAGTTAAAGCCTAATGTGCTTACATTCACCTTACACAGTCACCCAGATTATTCGTGTCTACGATAAAAATTAACGAAAGATCCAATTGTTAGTCAAAAGTATGCCTAAGTATATATAATTAGTCTACAAGAACTTTTTAAAGAAATCAATGTTATTCTCACTGCTTTTTTCTATTTATATTAAAAATCTGTTTATTACTAATATTAAGCGTTAGACTCTCCGCTGACGAATTCGAAATCAACTGCTTTGAACCTCGATCCCTTTAGCTTCTAATTATTCTAAACAACTATATGCAAAGTGGGAACCGAATTCAAACACAGTAAAGATACTCTCTTATATACTAACAAATAAGAAGTTTTCGAATAAAACTTAATTTTCTAACGAAATCAGTTTAGTTTGGCTAAAAGTGGCTAAGCATCTAGGAGTTACGCTACAAATAGCTCAATTAAACAAACACCCACCTAAAGATAGAGTAATTTATACGTTAATAACAAACTTTTAGTCTACATTGTCATAATATAAAATTAAGGGGGGGGAGTGCTCAGTATTAACCTAACCCTAACCTAACGCCAAAGCCAAAAGCTGTATATAATAAATGAATGTTCTACTTATACAACTTGGTTCGTGGGCAACTCACAGATCTTACAAAGGCGTACCGTTAGCAACGTATTCCGGGCAATTACCCACGAGTATTTTAAAAAGATGGAGAATTTTTGATTAACATAAATTCCAATATATATCTAAGGTCAAGCACGTTTTCTTAGTTTTAAAGACGTTTCACAGTATAATTGCTAAGAAATTGACTTAAAAAGAAGCAGTGTAAACACATCTCGTGTCGTAATTAATCTTGTTATAAAGATTAATAAATAAATAATTTAATACCATAGCTGATGAAAAAAAAGGGTAAAGCTGACGACTACAAGAGCTATAGGGGCAAAAATAATTTAATATATTTATACACATATATGAAAGAGAAATATTTTCTTAACGTTGTTCATCTACCTGTTCCGTAATAGGCACTACAGTTTAATTGTAAGAATCACGCATTGCGAAATTTATACTTCACATCAAGTAAACATACGTACAAGTTTCTATAGTACCTTTTTAGAAGTAATTAATATAATGCTGTGTGAACACTACAAACGCGTAAAATGTGTAAACAAAATACTAAGTACTTAACGTATCCAATCAAAGCACAGGACAAAGTCACTGACTGATAACTGATCCCTAAGCAAACAATAAGTAATCTGAAATGTTAAAAGTTGATATTTTTATACAAAAACAATCTTTAATTTTAGATGCAGTTAATAATTTATTAATGACTCAATTAAGCGCCTCCCAACACGATTCCACTAAGGGAGTCAGAGAGGCAATACTCATCTAGACTGTCCACTACACATAATTTCTTTGTAATATTTATATTTTTACAATGAAATTATATATTTTTTACAAAAATTTTCTTAAAATTTTAATGAATCTTTTGATTTAACATAGTGTAAATAAGAAAGGTGTACAATAAAACTTTAATAATTAAATGCCGAAATAAAGACTAAAATTTTGTTTTTATTTTACAAAGCAAACAGTGATACTTAATTTTTATAGTTTACAAGCTAAACTCCCAGAAGAAAATTAAGTGAACAAGTACAAGTAAAAAATTAATTCTACTACCAAATTTAAATAAAAAATTTAAAAACTTTAAATTAAAAAATTGCTTAACGCACAGATTTTACCGCCTCGGCACAAATCTATTTTAAATAAACAGTATAAAAAGCTTTAGGATCAATCACAAAAGTCAAAGCTGTATATACAAATTTAACACTTTCAGGCTTCCAGGTTTGACTTAATATATATAAAACTAACAGTCTTTCAAATATTTCATTTTTATAAAAAATTAAATATTAGTGACTAACACATAATAATATTGTCTAGGTCACTATAAAAAACCTGCTCCTCTTAAAAATAATTCCAACTGTTATATTATAAAGTGACATAATAAATAATAAAAATAAAAAACTTTATTAAAAATAAAAAATTATAACGAAGTAAGCACTCCCTTAACTAGACGAATTGCGGAAAGTTCTAACTAAAAAACCGTAAAAATTCTATTAAATAATTTGGGGTAGAGTAGTAAATGGAGTACCAAAACTAGAATAAAAACTAACCTTAAAGTTAAAAGAAGGAACAGGAAACCAAAGGAAACAAAGAGGAAAATATTATGTTTCAACAAATGAACGCAAAAGTTTAGTTTACGCCCTTTTCATATAATAAACAAATTTTACAGTATAAACTGAACACAGAAAAATGTTGTAATTCCTAGAAAATAAATAGTATCAAGCTAAAAAATTCGAAACCCCCCTTTTGACGCTTCATTAGAGTGCTGAAAGGCAAAAACATCATTTTACGAATAACTATCTCAGTTTTTTGTAATAGTTTTCTAGCTGTACCAGGGAAATAGGAACTTTTACCTTGAAGCTGGGACCACGTTATCAGGTTAGTGAACGAAGGAAACACTCCATAACACTAACGAGAGGTTAAACAAAAATTACGTAACTACACCTTTTGTTGTATATTTAAAAAATCTCAAAATTGATTTATTTACTTGTAAATGACTCATCCTGGTGCTTATCGAGTTAACCACTTCGAATACTCGAGTCCCAGTCAGTCAGGTGTAATAGCATATATGTTTCGCCATTCGCATTTTGCATAACCGAATTTTCTGAGGCCTGAATATTTGACTTCTCATATCAAAATGTATATATTGTTTTTCTCTGATGCTCTTTTCTTCTAAACTTCAAAAAAAATAAATATAAAAAAAATCTGTATGAAAACGTACATAAAGATGTTAACTTTTCATCAATGACATGCACGTGCAGTTTTTACACATTTACTGTTCGTCTCAAAAATTGATTCTTAATTATAGTTAAATCGGCCAAATTAGGCGTAGAAATAAGAATTTGGCGCTCCATTTTATTTAAAACCAATAATTTATTTGTATTCGTCATCCTTAACAAGCCATTTCTCGAGGGTTTATAAAGGGGCGAGGGTGACTGGTGCCCGGGCCTTTGGTAGAAATTTTTCTTTTGCGGCTCTGCTTCTGCTTTCTGCTCGCGCGCTTGTGTTCCTCTTCTGTTTTCCTGCAACTCTCCTCATCCTTTTTTTCTCTCTCTGTCCTTCTTGTATCCTGTTTACGTACGAATTTCTTTTAGTTAGATCGTTTTTAACCTCAGAGGAAAAACTATTGTTCTGGTAGAGTTTGCTTATAGACTCCCCTTTATTTTATATTATAATTTGCTTTTGAGTTTATTAACGATTTTATTTTCCTTTTTCTTTGTTTTAGGAGATTTTAGTGTTTGCCTAATTTCTTTTTTTTACAAGTTGAAAGAATGACTAGCATCGACGTTGACGCTCTTTTAGAGGAGTCTTTTGAAAATAGGAAAGACAAACCTGCTGTAAATAAAGATTTAAACAAACAAGATGAAAAAACGTGAGTGCTTTGCTTTTTGAACTGTGTGTAGTTCACCATTACTTTTCTCTCTATATTTGTTTATAGCTTACTTTTATTTTAACTTCGGTTAGGTTTCTGCAAAGAGTTTTTGCTCTATTTTTATATATTTTTCCCCTTGTTCTTCAAAAAAGTAATTTTTGGATTTTTATAAAGAACTGTCTTTTGGCTGTTTACTGTTGAATAACATTTGTCTTTGTGCTTATAATAGGAAAATATGCCATTCTTATGATATATGACTTAAAAATTGTACAGTTCTTACTTAATATATGTATGCTAAAATATGATAAAATTAAAAACTGTAGGCCGCTATTTTCGATTTTTACTATTTTCTTTTTACTAATATTTGTTTTAAAGTTTTTTTTAAAAAAATATTTTAATTTTAATCTGATTTTTTATAAAAAAAATGAAAAGCACCCATCTCTCGGATATTAAAGAAAAAAAAAGAAAAAAACAAAATGGTTCGGCTTCTTCTCGCTCGCCTTCTCGTTCTCGCCACTCTTCTTCCTCGCCTCGACGAAGAAGCCAGTAATTTTTACTTTTTTTATTTTATAATTCTTTTAACTCCATTTTTTTTTTTTTTTACAAATTTTTATAGTAAAAAGCGCTCCAAGTCAAGAAGCCGAAGCCGCTCGTAATTTTATTTTTTATTAATGAATATCTTTATATTTGTGACTTATTACTATTTTTTAAATAGCCGCCGCCGAAGTGGACACAAAAGTAAAGGAAGAGATCACGATCGAGATCGTCGTCGTGACCGAGACCGAGACCGCCATCGTGAGAGAGTTATTTCCGATCGCGAAAAAGAGCGCGACGTCGAAAGGAAAAAGCGGGAAGAAGAACGAAGAAAAGAAATTGAACACGATCAAAAAATTCAAGAAGTATAAGTTAAAAAAAATTTAAACGAAGAATTAAAAATTAAAATTTTAATTTTGGCGTTCATTTTTTAGTGTAAAAGTAAAAGTAACTTGTTTACAATTTTACTTGAAATCTTTATTAAATTTTTAGTTTAGAATTCTATTAATGTTATCATATTTAAATTTTTTACTTGTGAATTTTAGCTTTTTTATTTTTTATTATTATTAATTTTTATGGTTTTTATTTCAAATTTATCGGACTACTTTTTCTAATTATAAATTTTTAGTATTTTTATGTGAAGTTGATATAAAATTTTTGGTCATTGCAATGATTTTTTTCAAGTAACATTAATTTTCTTGTTTGTCGTTTTTTGTTCGAATCTGATTTTTTTTATATAGTTTTGAAATATTTTGTTTCACATTGCTTACTTTTTTTAAGTATTTTTTTTAAGATAATAAATTTTGACTAGTTTACTTTATAAATATATATTTTTGGAATAATATTTGTTAGTTAAGAAAATAAATTTTATAAATTATTATTTTTCTTAAATTATTAGTTTTTGCTTTTCTCGATAAGTATAAAAAAGATTTTTTTATTTATTTATTTTTTAGAAATTAATGATTTTTATTAATTTGTGAAAGATTTAGAATTTGTGAATCATAGTTTTTAGGAGTGCTAAGAAATACAAAAAATTATTTATTAAAATTTATTTATAAATTTTTCGTAAATAATTAAGAAAAAATTTTCTTTACCAATTTAATTATGGGTTTATAGATAAATGATAATTTATAATTAATTAGAATTTATTTTACTATTAATTATAGCTTTTAATGGGAAGTACAAAAAATTTTGAAGAGTATTTTCAAAATGATTTTAATAAATTTTGAAATTTTTATTTATTTTTAGATTTCTTTATTTTTTTTATCTTTTAAAAAAAATATAAATATCACACATTAAAAATTTTATATTTTTAAATATCTGATTATCTTTTACTAATTACTTAAGCTTAATTTTATATTTGTCTATTTCCTATTAATTATTTTTTTGGTTAAAAAATTAAAAAAATTTTTTTTATTATATTAATAAAAAAGTTTCATTTTTGAATTTTCTTGTTGGTTTTAATTAAATATATATAAAAGTTTGGTTAATATTACGTAGTTTTTTTAATTTTAGCATTTTTTGGTGTTAAAGTGTATATTGATATTAACTTTTTTTATTTGTAATAGAGAATTTACTTACATTTTGTTTTTTTTTATATGGAACCAAAAAAGTTATTATTAGAGAATTTTTCTCTAAAAAATATTAAAAATTTATTTCTGTATTAAATTATCTTTAAGTACAACAAACTAAATTTTATGAATTTTTCTTAAAAATAGTTAAATTTGTTACTTTATTAAAAGTTGTTTGGTTTTTGTGTGGATTAAAAAAAGTTTTCACAAGGAATTTTTTAATAATACCATAATTGGGTAAAAAAATTTGAAGATATTTTATATCATGTTTTTACTGGGTTTTAGGAAGTTAATAAAAAGAACTGGAAATTTAAAATTTTTAATTTTTATTCATCATATTTTTATAAATTGTACTTTATTCAATTTTTTTATATTTTATTTTTTATATTTTATGAAATATTATTTTACTAACTTTTAATAATTTTATAAAATATTAATTTTAAAAATTAACTTTTTTTAAGAATTTTTATATGCTTTTTTTACAGGTTTTTTAGAAAGTTTATATAATAGAATTAAAATAAAATTTTTATTGAAATGTTTATTAAAAATTTTTTATTTTAACTTTTTTATTTATTCAATATTTATATATTTATATATAAATAATTTTTGATTTTATTTTTTTTCTAAATATATAAATTTATTATTTTTATTATTACTATATTAAAATATTTTAAAATTTTTGATTAATAATTTTTTAGGATATTAGACAATGTATAAATTTATAAATTTTTTGATCAATTTTATATAATTTTTTTTTTACTTCTAATTTTTCCAAGTATTTCGATGGTTTGCATAAAATAGAATTTTTAATATATTAATAAAAATATATTTTGTAAAACTTAAAATTATTCAAAAATTCTGGTTATTAGCCTCAAAGTACTAAAGAAAAAATTGGAAACTTATTAATTTAATTTTTTAATTTTTTATAAGTACAATAAAAATTTATAATTTTTTTATAGGATTTGTATTTTAATTTTAAATGTTTTGTTTTTTTTTGGATTTTTGGTAGAGAACATTTTTATTTTATAAATACTTTAAGTTTATAAAAAAGTAAATTTATTTATGTATTAAAACACTTCAGTTTATAAAATTAATTATATATTTAAAATTTTCTTGGAGAAAAATTTTTTTAAATTTATTTTTTATTTTCTTAACATTTTTATTTTATATAAAATTATTAATTTTTATCTAATAGATCTTAATTTAATATTTAAATTATATTCCATTTTATTATTTTTGTTGTTTTCTAAACATTATTTTATTAAAAATTATTTTCGCAGAATTTTTTATATATATTAAAGTAAATTATTTACATTTCCTTCATATATTTTGTTGAAAACATTTTAATTTAATAAGAAATTTATTGAATTTTGAAATTTTTTAATGGTAATTACTTATTTTTATCTTATTTTTTATTTTAAAAACTTCTTAATTTATAAAATTATTTAATTATATAAAAAATTATAATAGTTATTTTGTTTATTATTTAATTTTTTGTTTCATTTTATAAAATAATAATTAAATTTGAAAATTTTTTATATGAATGATTTTATTTAAATATCTTGATTACTATAATAAATATATCAAATTTTTTAGTACTTAAATTTATTTTTAAACATAATTTTAAACACAGTTTTATAATAAAACATCTATTTAGAAAATTTTTTATTATTTATAGAAACATGTTAAAAATTACATAAGTATCAAGAATTTTTATATTGGACTTATTTTTTTACTTAATTTTAAACATATAAGTTTTACTAGTAGAATTTACTTACAAATTTTATTTTATTTAAAAATTTATTAAGGTTTTATTATTTTACGTGTATTTTAAACACCTTAATTTAATAAAAACTTTAAATTTAATAATTTTTTTAATAATATATTTTTTATTTTTCTGTGTCAAAATTTATTTATAAAAAAATTAATAAAAATTTTAAATTTTTTATATATACACTTTATGTTTTTTTTGTTTCGTATTTAAAAATATGAATTAACATATACATTTATTGCATCCAATAAATTTTAATTCTATCGAAACTTGATTAAATTCTTCAAAATCCATTAAACTTCACTTTTTTGTTTTAATTTTATTAGTTCTTTTTATATAAATAAAAAATAAAAAAATATTTTTACTTAATAAATTTTTTTAGGTAATTTTTTATATATTTCGTATTGGAACAATTAATTTAAAAAAAATTAAATAAACAGAATTTTTATAAATTCACTTTTTTATTCTTTAATTTTTTTTATACCAAAAATAATTTAATTTCATTTTTTAATAAAATTTTATTTAAACAAATAATAAAATATGTTTACAGTTTTCGAACGTTTATAATTTTTTTTTTTTCATTTATATATATTTTTTTTTATTTAAAAAGTATTTAGATAGTTTAAATGAAGAAGAAGCCGCCGCGTTAGAGCGGGAGAGGGCGATGCTTTCAGTGCTGGTTACCCTTTTACCTCCGAAACTGCGTAATCGGGAACTAATGGAGTTTTTTGAAGAGAATAATTGCGGATTAGTCCGCGATGCAAGAATCATCGCAGACAGAAATACTCGAAAATCTAAAGGATATGCGTATGTCGAGTTTTTAACTAAAGAGTCGGTCAAGTACGTTTTTATCGGATTTTTAAATATATTTATTGAAATAAAATTTATGGAAGAGATTTGTTTTTATTTATTCTATTGTAAAATATTATTATTGAAATATTGTTTAAAGAGCCGGTCACCTTTTTTTTATTATTTGTGAATGTTAATTCAATTATTAAGAACTTGTATAATTAATAATTTTTTAATATAAATTCTTCTTTTTTATTTTTTCTCTATACTTTTTTGGAAATGATTTCTTATTATAATTTTTTATTTGGATTATAATTATTTAAAATTAGTTTTATTTAAACTTTTTTTTGTTAAAGAAAAATATTCTTTTCTGAAATGATCAATTTTTATTATTTCTGTTAATGTGGCTTATTTTTATTTTAAAAACTATATTTAAAGAGTTAGTCGAGTACGTTTTTTTTAATATATAATTTATAATGATTTTTAAATGTAAATATTAATACTTTTAAATGTTTTATTGTACTAATGAAATTACAAATATGAATGAATATTTTGTTTTATCAAATTTTTTATTCATGAATAATTTTTTTTTACTTCATTTTTTAATTTACAGATAATTTTGATTAACTTTAATTAAAATAATAATTAAGTTTTTTATTAAATTATCTATTATTGTAAATGGTTGATCATTTTTATTTTATTTTTATGGAAATGAAATAATGATTCTTTTTTATAATAATATTTTTTATAAAAATTTCTGGAAAAATAAATAATTATTGAAAGTGAATTTTTTTAGGATTCCTTGATCTGTAATTAAATTAATTTTCTGATTATTTCTTTTAATTAAATTTAAAATTAATTGGTTTAAAAATTTTTAATAAAGCTTATTAACCTTTTTTTTAATTTTGATTTATTTAAATATTTAATTTACTTTTTATTATAAATAAATTATTTTTCTATTAAATTAAAAATTATGAACTTTTTTTAAAATTTTTATTTATTGTAATTATTATGAAACATAATAACTTTTTGTTTATTTTTTTATTTTATGGCTATTTTTATTGTTGCTTCCTTTAGAAATTTTTTTTAATATTATTTTTATTAACTTTATTATATATAATAATATTTTTTTAGAAATATAATAAGCAAATCTATATAAAGCATTTTTAATTTTTTTAATAAATTTATAAAATTTTTCTTATTATAGTAATTATTATTAATCTATTATTTTAGTAATTTTTTATAATTATTATAATTACTTTATTGAAGTCTGAAAGTTATATATATTATACTTATTTAAACTTTATATATTATTTTTAGTAATCTCTTTTATAATTTATTATTATTTTATAAAAATAAGAAATTTTTTATACATTATTATTACTTTTATTTAATTAATATATTTATTATTACAATAATAGCTTTCCATATATACATTTTTAACTTTTATTTATTTTTGTTCTTTGCAGTGCCGCGATTGCTCTAACGGGCCAAAAACTTAACGGGAAGCGAATTGTCGTTCAGTATTCTCATGCGGAAAAAAACACACAATCTAATCAGATATCTACTGTGGGCCCCAAACGAATTTACGTTGGAAATTTGAATCCTAATCTCGATGAAACCCATGTGGCAAAAATATTTACTGTTTTTGGCGAGGTGCTTTTTTTAAAACTTAATTATTTTATTGTTTTATTGTTTTTTTCATTAATTTATTTTGTATTAATTTATTTATTATTATTACTAATTATTAATAGATTAATTTATATTTTTAGTTATTTATTTATTTGTATAAATTTCTTTTACTTATTCATATATTTTTACTGAATATTTTTTATTTTTAATTATTATGTTTATTTCTTTACTAAGTTTTATATAACGTAATTATATACTGATTCAATATTTATTGTACGTAATATTTTCTCATAACTTTTATTTATTTTTAATGCTATTTATTAGTTATAATATTTATATATAAATTTAACCAATTCTTATCTTTTCAGGTGGATCAAGTAAATCTCATTCGCGATAAAGAAACCACGCAGTCGACTGGCTCAGCGTTTGTCACTTTTAAAAAATCGGAATCGGCGCAAATTGCCATTGAAGCTCTAAACGGGCAGCTCTTTCAAGGTCGTCCCTTAAAAGTCACGTGGCCTGTCAAATCGGATCTGAAGGAACGTGAAGGGCTTGATGATTCTAGCAATGTTGGCGTGCAAATGAACGCCGCGCAAGTCACCCAGTTGATGACGAAGTATTCCGCCAGCAAGGATCTCGCGAATTCTGCTCACACCGTCCCATTTGTCCCTGTGCCGTCCTCGTTCGCGCCGGCCGTTCCCGTTTTGACCAACTGCATTTGTCTGTCCAATATGTTTGATTTGAATTGGTTACTATTATTTTTATTTATTATTATTTATTGATTATCATTTTTATTATTTCTATTATTATTATACTAATAATAATAAATTTATGATTATAATTTTTGTTTTTTATGTTTGAATTATTATTATAATTTACTTTTTTTTTGTTTTAAGTAATATAATTTATTTTATAACTATTTTATATAATTTTTACTTATTTGTACTATATTTATATTTAATTTGTTATTACTGTGGTTGTTGTTAATATATAATTAATTTTTTTCTATCCTTTTTGATTTATTATATTTATAATTTTTTTGTTTGAATCCTCATTATAATAATATATTTTTTAATTTTTTTTAAATATTTATAATGATTTTGGTTATTTTTTTTATGTTTGAATTGATAATTTATATTATATTTTTTTGTTTTTTTATATTTATCTTATATTGTTTTATTTTTTAGTTATAATTATTTATTATAAATCTTTTAGTTACATTTCTACTTTTAATTTTTGTTTTATAAAGTATTTTTTATAATAATATTTATGTAAATAGATTTCCTTATAAAAATTTATTTGATAAAAATATTTGATTTATAAATTTTTTTTACAATATTGCAATATTAATAATACATTAAAGTTTATATTTATTTTTAATTAATTTTTATTTATATCTGTATAGTCCGTTAGAAGAAGATTGGGAAGTCGATTTGAAGGATGACGTTACCAGCGAAGCCGAAAAATACGGCAAGCTGTTGCACATTTACGTCGATAAAAGTTCTTTAGAGGTTAGTATTACAGTTATTGTTATTATTAAATTTTTTTTGGTTTTTATTATAATAAATTTTATGAACTAAAATATTTTCGATAATTAACTGACCAATTTATTATAATATGCATGAAAATTTATTATAAACTCTTTGTTAATTTATATAAGTTTTATAATTATTATTATTATTTTATTTGGTTTAAAAAAAATTTTGTTATAAACTTTTTATAAATGTATAAAAGTTATTATAATTATGAAAGTCTAATGATTTTTATATATTTATTAAAGGTTTATTATTGTTATTATTAAAATATTATTTCGTTATTATAACTCCTGATAAATTTATAAAAGTTATTATTTTCGGTTAACAAAATAATTTATGATTATTATTTTAATTAAACCTTTCTTTTTTTAATAAAAATTATTTAATAAATTTTCTTTATAGTTATAATATTAATAAAATATGAATGAATAAATTTTTTAATAAATATAATTATTATAATTTTTAAGGGTCACGTTTATTTGAAGTTTGCTACTACTGAATCTGCTATGAATGCCAGTAAGGCGATGGATGGAAGGTTTTTTAATTGATTTTTTTTTTTGGAATTATAAAAAAATTATAAAAAAATTAAATATTTTTTTGGAACTTTAAATTTCACAATTTCTTTTTACAAAATTTATAAAATTCTTATGAAATATTTTAAATCTTATTATAATTAATATATTTATTTTTGATAAGAAACTTTTTTTATAATCTCTAATTTTCTTTTATCGTTTTAATTAAGTTAGGAAGTATAATTTATCATTTCTTGTAGATTTTTTGATGGGCGGGTCATCAAGGTGGAGTATCTCCAGCCGCAGCAGTACAGTGCAAAATTTCCCGGCCAATAAATTTACTTCCGATTTAATTATATAATTCGGCGTTACTCATTTGGAGAGATCTATTAAAAATAAATTTTTAAAAAAAATTTATTTTTGTAGTTTTTAGTTATGTATATTCTAAAATTATATATACGATTTTACAATTTGAGTTATTGTTTTAATTTTTAATAATTATAATAATGTAAATTATATTATACTATTTTATCGAAAAGTTTTTAGGCGTTTACGATTTTTCTATTTGGGGATTTTAATTTAATAAATCTTTTAACTTTGATGTGAATTATTTTAAACGATTTTATTGGAAATTTATAAGTATTTAAGATTTTACGCAATTTAAGAAATAAATTAAAAATAACTTAGTAAGTTATAATTTTTTGTACTATTTATAAAAATGTTTTAAATTACGAGTTTACGCATTTTTAGAAAAAAAATTAAAAATAATTTTATAAATTGATTTAATTTTAAAATGATACCATTGAATAGTTTATATCATATACCTATTAACGCTTTTTTAGAAAAAATTTTAAGTATTTTAAAAGTTATAATTTTTTTCTACGGTTTTGTTTAAAAGTTCTTAAACGTCTTCGCTCTTACGAATTGAGAAATAAAATTTGAAATAAATCAGCAAGTTCATGTTATTTTATACGATTTTACTGAAAAGTGTTTACGATTATTCGTTTTGAGAAAAAAAATCTAAAATAAATTTACGTAATTTTTTTATACATTTTTATTGAACAGTTTTTTTTTTTAATTTAATTTTATTAAGCTATGTTTGTTAATTTTAATAATATCTTTTTATGATTAAATAATTATAAAGATGTAATTTTATCCACTAATTTTCAAATTTAATTATTAGTAAATTATTTTTTGTTAATTTTTTAATTTTACATTAGTATATTAATTAGGTGTTTGTAGTTATTTTCTTAAGACTTTAAATTTTTTTCAAGCATTTCAAGAATTATTTGTTTTACTGGCAGTCTGAGTTTTTTATACGGCTTTAGGCGTTTTTACATTTTATTAGAACTTATTTTTTTGGTTGCGTTATTTCCAGATCTCCTATGCGTAGTTCACTAGTATTAAACTATAGCGCTTCTCAGTAAAATAAATTGAGCGTGTATATGATTCATTAACTTCGCCTACGCTTTTACCAGACTTTGATGGGCAGAACTTACAAATAACATAAATATAAGATTTTAAAGCGTGTGCCCACAAGTAATTTAGATACCAAAATAGAAGGCAACCAAACTCCTAAAGTATGTAACCTGTGTACAGTCTCTTAACAGTCTGCTGCAATTTATTGCGCACACTTCTCCCACACGTTATAAAATTAGGTAAAAAAATTAATAGAAGCGCTTTTATTAGGATTATGTTTATGTAACCGTATAGTTACCGAACGCAGGCGTATCATGAGGGCTTTGTGCGCATCTCGTGATAATTACAGGCCACTAACGGCTATTATAAAAACAAAATGCATTCAACGCTTTTTAAGATCAGTGTGTAAATGCTTGTTTAACTGCGCCTTCTACCTTACTTTGCTATACGGGTGTGGTGTCAATTCAATAAACCTTTTTCTGCTCATTCTACCTACACATCATTGGCCTAGGAGCTATAATAATATATATAATACTACGCGTACCGAGGGCGATAATTAACGTAACAGAAAATATATTCGGATGTCTGTTTAAATTCTTTTGCAATTCACAAAATTAAAAGGTTAGGGCCTATTTTTATAATAAGAAAGATTTTTTTGGATTCTTTGCGAATACTTTTACTTTTAAATTTAATTAGTTGAAATAATTGTAAAACAAATTAAATAAAAAATTTTCTACAAAAACTTTAAAAAAATCGTTATCTGTTAAAAGTAAAAAAAAATTTACTCAAAAATTTTTGTTAAAGAAAATTTGTATAGTATTACTAGTTTCATATAATTTGTTTAAATTTTATACAAATAGTTTTACAATTTAGTTATAATTAATAATTGGATCATTTATAAAAGTAGCTAATTTATAGGTAATACTACCAAAAAAATGTTGCGTATATCAAGTTTGTCCTTGATTTAATGAAACTTATTCCTACCAAAAAGTTTCTAAAAAGAAGATTATTTATAAAAAGAAAATGGAACTTAATCTTAAAACTTTATTATAGGAATAAAGTCCCGGTTCTATAAAGACGAAAGTTTAAGTAATTTATAGTCTAATATTTTTAAAATTTAGTATATCTAATTTTGATTTTTAAAATTATTACTGTTAATGAGTTGTGCAGATTCCCGGTAGTATGGAGCACAGTCTGGTTGACCTCGCAAATAACCATTCAGTTTCGCATTAATTTTGATTAGATTAAGTAAAAGCTTATTGATACGTAACAATCCAACCGAGTATATCGCCTATCAGTTTATCCTCACACGCGGATACCCTCAATGCCAATGATACGGTGATTTCTTCGTCCTCAAAGTCACCCTTTTTACTAGCTACACCTACAATTTTATTTCGACTAAGTTGTTAACTGACCTCGTCAATGGGATCTCCTTTAACGCTGCAAAGAGAAAGGCGCTTTTTATAACAAAGTGCTGACACCGCAAACTTTTAAGCGCAGGAAATTCCGTGATGTTCTCAAGTAAAATGACTGTGGGTTATTATAGAATCTTGGCTATCGTGGCGTGCACACCTAAATTAAGTGGCGATGAAGTTCAAGGCCGCGACACAGATGCTATATCCTCTATGGTGCAGCAAAAGTAAACTTTCGTTGCGCAATAAGCGAAGGCTTTTTGTGTTGGGTATCCGGTCGATTATGACATACCTCTTCTGCCTGGGTTTACGACTTAGAAAATAACGTCCTCGCTGGAAGTAGGACAAGATAAACTGCTGGCTACAATCTTTAAAAAAGAAGCCATCGCCCTCTACAACGGATAGCTGACACGCCAGTCGCCTTTAAGCGGAGGGACTCTCGAGTATCTATTCTTAAAGCCTGCCTTTTCTCCCACCTTGTTTCTTCTCAGCAGTGGCGCTACTTTGACTAGATTACAAGAATTTCGTAAATAATTGCAGTACAATGTTATTGTACTCTTTTATATAACAAGAGGCCTGCGGCGCACAATCCCATAAGACAACAATTTTACTTACCCCTCGCGGACGACTAAAAACTTGTTTGAGGGCTCGTGTATTCGAAGTTGTTAACTCGATCGGGAACCAGGGTTATATAATTAGATAAATAAAGTTCATCATGCAGATTAAGTTTTATTAAAACTTTTTATAAAAAAAGTTAAGTTGCTTACTATGCAAACGCCATTTATAAATAAATAAATTATATATCGTAGATCCAGTTTTACTATAACTTAATTAAAAGATAAGAAATTAGATTACGTTGGAAACGCCTTTGTGAATTGTTAAATAAATAAAGTATATAGCGTAGATCAAATTTTATTGAAACTTCAAAAAATAGATTTGAGTGCGTTGTATACAATAGCTTTACATTTAGTTAGTTAAATATTGTTTAGATAGGAAACACCATTATAAGAATATCGCAATTGTGGTTTGATAAAACTTAAAAAAATTTTATATAAGTGTTATTTGTCATAAAATAGAAGCTTATTTATAAAATGTTTTTTTTATTACAAAGTGAGTTCGATTAATTTTTTCAAGAAAAGTAGAAAGTTTTATTTAAAGGCGTGCTAAGTTTGTAATAAAGAAATTTAATTAGAATTTTTACACAAAGCTTTATATTTTATTATTTTTTTTTTTAATTCATAGAATTAAATATAAAAGTAGCTTATTTATAAGAAATTGTACAAGTTACACTATAAAAATCTTTTTTTTTGTATTAATAACGTATTTTTAAAAAACTTTCCATGATATTGATTTACAACAAAAGTTTAATTGCTTTTTTTATAATAAAATAAGTTAACTTTAAAAAAAAAACTTTTAATTTTAACTGAACAAAATACCAAGTAATTTACAACTAAGAAAAAATATATATTTATTTATTAAGCTTTGGCCTAGTAAAGTTAAAAATTTACTTAAAGAATTTTTAGTTGGAAACTCAAATTTTACTTTTGTTATAATTATAAGAGTTATTAATTTGTAAACTTTATAATTAAAAAACTTCTAAATTTTTATTAACATGGTTTTGTTCTTACAAAATTTGTATTGCCTTGGAAATGTGTTGAAGATAACCTTACCATGAAACCTACCACAAATAAACATTTCTAAAAAAAAGAAGGGTTGAGGCTCTCCTTAAAAACAAAACTACTAAGTTTTGGTAGCTCACTGTTTTTTTAAACTTTATTTTAATTAACTTAAACAAATTTAATTAAAAGTCGAGCATATACTCAAGGAAAACAGCCGCCGAAAGCTGAAGTCACAACGAGAGTTGAAATGAAATTGTTTAACTAAAATTTGCGTCAGAGACGAATTGTTGCTGTACACATTTATCAAACTAAATGCATCCTTCTTAACTTCCAGTTAACTATGAACTTAAGCTATAACTTAAGTAAGATGAAAGTTAATAGAATTTACAGAGAAAGTTAACAAGAAGGTTTGAATATTTAGTGCTTGGTGTGTACTCATTATTGTAATAAACTAAATAACTATTTTATAACTTCCTTTACGCTAACACCACTTTATATAAAATCTCCTATTTTTGTTTATTCCTCTGATCTGTTCTTTGATTGTACTTTAAATTTTCTTGGTTTTTGATTTATGTATCTTTTTTCGTACTATCAAGTTTGTTTAGTTGCTAGTTTGTGAAAAGCCTTGTAGTATAAAGTCGTTTGCTAGCAAGGCTATAACCACCATTATTATTTCTGTTAAGTAGTTTTAGTATACATCCACTTTTATTGTATAGGTTGGGCATGATTATAATTTTACAGTTTATGTGGTTAACTGTTTTTAATTTTTTCGGGGCGTGCGACTTTTTAAAGTTATCTCATTATCTAATTGTCTCAGCAATCATTAAAAATACTATGTTTTGCAAAATTTGCAACCTGTTTATGTTAAAAAGAGCATAATAGAAAAAGCCGTCATTACATAACTAGATAT